CTTCTTAGAATGCATTGATTTAGTTTACTTTAGTTTCTTTGTTCTTAGTCTTTGTTCTTTTGATTCATTATTAAAAAAAATTAATTCTCCTTCTTTTAACTTAATTAAATTTTTATTTATTTATTTACTTATTTACTCACTTCTCTATTCTCTTTGTTTATAATACTAATTGTGTATAAATACCTTGGTTAGTGTAAATATAGAATTAAAGTAAAGTAAGTCTTGTGTAAATGTTAAGATACACCAGTTAATTATACGTGACAGTGGCCAACTCGAAAGCTATGCTACTTTGGTCACTGTGCACATTTTACTTTTGATTATTGATGCAATTTACTGTTTTTTATATATTCTGACTTTTATAATCTGTAGTAACCTCTTGAAATAGTGCGAATAAAGAGTTTCTTTCCTTTCCTAATGATTAATTTTCACTGTTTTAAAATGCATTTTTTAGCTCGCTTTTACCATTAGAGTCAAGTAACAAGGGTTATTCCAGATCGAGCTGTTGTTGGGTTAATATCAGAAGAGTAATTTTCTTTTTTCCTACATTAGCCAAAATTCACAAGCCAAGACATATAACAGTCTAAGAATCTGGTACTTTTAAAATCACACATCGTATATAAGAAAAGTTTTCACCGCATGACGAGCTTTATACGACTTTGAATTTCTTGACCCCTACCGATTTTGCGCTATTGAATAGCGCAAAGTCAGAGGGGGTCTAATTTTTCTCCACGTAGCATCTCTGCCGGGCAAAAATTTAATGAAGGGTTTTCACAAAAAAGGTGTTGAGAAGTGAGGTTCGGCACATGGCTATCTATCAACAGATTTAATTTGACACGTCAGTCTAGACAACATTACGATCGAGGTAAGTATCGAGTACGCTCTGCGCATGACAAAATGTAGAAAATGCATCTTCTTAACGTAAACAAAAATTACGAAACAGACGCCTATATTGAAGTGTGCGTCGTTTCCTTTATGTCGAGCCAAGCAGGAGCACTTTTAGTAAAGAAAACTTTGAGAAAAAGTAAGAATTATAAGTACGAACCTATGAAAGAATTATTAGCTAGTACGAACATAGGAGTTCTCAAAGCCATTAATCAATCGATCGATGATACAGCGCGCGATATTTGCTGTTCTTATCAGAGTAGGAAAACTGTAACTTTGATACCTAGCAGAGCGTTTTATTTCGTGGTTCCTGCTTGTACATTCAACAGTTACCTAAAGCCAGCTGAAAGATGCTACAAATTAACATGCGAGAGGGTCAATGTGGCGAAAAAAAGTTAATTTGAATTTTTTTCTCCCAGTAAAAAGGTTCAGCTATTCCAAAACTGGAAATATATATATATTTTCTAAAACTGGCCTCTTGGCTGGATTGAGGTGCACTGCATTCTGAAGTACTAAGGATAAGGCTTCCATCTCTTATTTTTGTAAATATTATTCGCCATAATTCCCAGACTAAAAATGTCATTAGCGACACTTAGTCCATGCTGTCCCCCTCTCAACGAGTTCTCCTTCATCGACATGCTTCT